ATCTTCAGAATTTTTCTTTTTAATGTGAAGTTTGAAAGGTAATATGTGGTTTTGAATCAAAATCCTCCTGTTCAGCAGCTGAGACAGGCATATCAGTAGCATTTAGAAATCTTATTTCTATTAACTTACTGGCTAAAAAGCTTGTCAGGTCAGGGAATGTTCTGACCTTTTGTGGAAAGATAGCTGTTTTGCCTTTTGGAAATAGACCCTCATCTCTGTCCAAGCTCTACTATAAAAAGGTCAGCCTTTCCCTCATGGTCTGCTGGGCAGTGTCCACACCTGCTGGGTGCCCTGTGCACCACTCAGGTGCTGGAGAGGGACTGTGTGGCCCCTCCAAGGAGGGAGGTGGAGTCAGATAGGGAAAGTTGGGGTGGATAGCGGAAGATTTGGTGATGGGGTTTTGGGGTGGTACTTCACTTGAATTATTAGATCAGGGGACAAAGAAGTCACGAAGCAAGAGAGAGGGAGCATGTACAGAAAGATTGTTCTAGGCCTTTCTTTCTGTGTAACCAGCAGCCCCAGGCAGCCTCAGTGCCTTACAACACCCATCTTATTTATGGTACAATTTTTTGAGCCAGGAATTCTGCCATGCTCAGCCAGGTGATTACGCCAGGTGATTACTCTTTGTGTGATAGCAATTGAGGTCACCTGGTAGCAGGCTGATGGAGGGGTTCCGAGACAGCTCACCACACATCTGGCACCTCAGAGGTCAGTGGAAAGCTAGCCTCAGTGGGGACCGTTGACTGGGATGCCACTGTGTGTTCTTCCCAGCATGGTAGTCCTAAATTTCCAGTATATGGCAGCTGAAGGCTCCTCAGAGACCCAGGCAGAAGCTGTAAAACTTTTTCAGATACGGCTTTGGAAAGGTCTGAACATCACTGCCTCCATATCCTGTTCGTCAACAAGTCAGTGAGGCCATCCCAGGTTTAGAGAGAAGGGAATTAGACTCACCCCTCAGTGAGAGGAGTCACATGACTTCCGTGTTCTCTGAGGGGACCACCATCGGTTGGAGGTTTCGTGAGATGTGGCCAAGTGTGCTTTCAGATCTGAAGGTGAAGATCAAGGGCCATGGGTGGAAGAGCTGGCAGTGGGAGCACGCTCTCCCAGGATGCTTGACGTGGACAACATGGGTGTTGAGAGTGGAGGCTGAGGATGGAGGGGTTTGCTTATTTTTACTGTTTGAAGATGGGGGATCACCAGTAACCCACTGTTTTTAAAATCAGTTGTGCTTTTCTGTGCTTCTATCTCACCTCTTGTGAACATCGTTGAAATTCTCTTTGTTCATGCTTTGGCAATATAACTTTCTTGTGTTCTTGGTCTTTCACCTGTGACCAGGAATATGTTGTTTCTTTAAGTGGGGTTCTGTCTCCCAGGCCTCTCCTGGGTTTTTTTTTTCTTCTTTATTCTGCACTTTTTTTTTTCTTTTTTTCTTGAGCAATCCCACTTCCTCTCATTTTAACTGTCATCTGTGTGGCCATTCTCTTGCTCTGTCCTGTACTTTGTGATGCCAACAGTTCATAAAGTACTCTTGCTTTTTGCCATGCAAAATGAGGTTCTCCACTGTGCCTGCAAGTAAGCACTGCATAGAGCTTATAACAATGTATGCCGGAGTCCTGTCCCAGAATCAGTGCGTCAATCTCCTGAGACTGAGGCAGACATATTTTTATAAAGGTTCCCAGGTGATTCTGATGCTCATCTACACATTGAAAGCAGTTCTCTGAAAATTGTATCGAATCCTCCAATTCATTTCCACCATTGCTCTTTTGGTTGGGGCTTTTAGACTAACCAAAAAAACTGCAGTAACAACTCACCACAAACCTAGTGGCTTAAAGCAGCAGAACTTATTCTCTGGAGGCCTCAAGCATGAAGTCCAAGTGTTGAAAATCCCTGCTGCCCAGGGCACTCTGGAGAAAGAGCCGAGCTTGGCTCTTCTGGCTGCTGATAGGCCCAGGCATGCCCTGGATTTGCATGGTCTGGCTGAAGTCTCTGGTCTTCTCCCCTTTTTCCCCATGCTTCCTCTAAAGACACTTGTCATTGGATTTAGGGCCTACCAGTAATCCAGGATGTTACCGCCTTGAAATCCTTAGCCACAACTATAGAAACCCTTTTCCCAAGTATGGTGTTCACTATAGCTGTTGTAGTCACAGCTTCTGGGACACCGACATTCAACCTGCCCCTCTCCTCTGGTTCTGCCCTCTCCTCTGACCATCTGGCCTCCGTCTGGATGTCCATGCTGCGCTGTGCCGCCTGGTGATTATACCCAATTACGGAGTCCTTCACTTAAAGCTTGCCAGCTGCCCCTTTCCCCTTGGAGTAAAAAGCCGCCCCTGGCATGGAGGACCAGGATGGTTTAATCTGGCCTTTTCCTGCCTTTCTCTCCTTGCCCACCACGTTCCGCTCTCCTCGCCGTTGTATGTTCTGTTGCCTGCACACCCTCCTTAGTCTGGGTCAGATTTCGCGACAGTCCCAGCAGTGTCTCCTCCAGGAAGTCTTCCCTAATGCCCTTTTCCCTTGTGCGTTGTGCTCCTGGCGTATCTTGTTGCATGTGTCTGACCATACTTGTTTCTGCACCTATCTGTCCTTTTAAGCAGAGAGCTCTGTGAAGACAGGCAAGCTAATCCTGATTGTCATCGCCCCAGTGCTTGCTGTTATGAATACTGAATGAATGGCCATGTGGCTTAACCTAATTAGAAGCTTGTCTCATCGTGACAGTGGCTTTTCCACTCTTACCTTAATTATTTTCAGTAGCTCTGTTCACTGAGCGGCAGCTAGCGGTATTGAGCATGTTCTCTGTAAGCAGACTGGCGTGTTCCTCGCTTAACCAGCAGCATCTCTGCATCTGTGCCCAGCAACTTATATTAAAATGTTTCTGCATAAGTTAAGGTTGACAGTTCTGGGTTTTGTGGATTTCCCCCCCCCCCCCCCCCCGTTATATTAGACATGGCTTTGGGGTTGTAAGCAGAAACGAAGCTGAGTTAGCTAAAGTTAAAAAGAGGTTGATCACCAAGGGACAGTGTACATCTGCGCCTGTATAAGCCCATAAGGATTCCTCCTCCGTTTCTGTTACTGGGCGCCCTTGTCTGCTCCATGCCTCACTTTCTCTGCTTCTTCATCCATATAATGGACTGTGACAGCCTCATAGCGCCTGTGTTCGCCCTAGCCATCCCCAAGCATTGCTTGTTTTTCAGCTCCAGTGCTGTGTTTTCTAGGTGAGAATGTCACTGGCCAGCTTGGGCAGATGTCCACCTCTGGTCGTTCAGCCCCAGAGCACGTGGGAGGGTGCTTGCAAAACCCTTCACCCAGTGTGGTGCTGGGCTCCCTGTAGGGAGTCCAGGCTAGGGTCCTGGGAGGCGCATCATGTGAGCCTTGCCAGCACCCCAGCAGGATGGATCCCTCTGGCCAGGGGCATGTGGTCCAGAGCAGGACTGCAGAGTCATGCACATGGGGGACCCAGGAAGCCCTGCCAGATATTTTACCAGTTGCCTCTCTCAGTGTTCCTCCCAAGGGTGTAGAGTTCTGGCTTTAGTTGATTCATTCACCTGTTTCTTTCAATACAGAATTCAGGGATATGATTTCAGGGATATGGAATCTTGTGCATACAGAGTGGGTTTTGAATGGCTCCTCACCCATGGTGTTCCATGTAGTGACCATCATAAATATGCTTCAGACAATATGTACCTTCTTCTGATGCTGTCTCAGAAAAAGGAGGTGACTACGACTTGAAATCAATCTGTATTTTGGAGACATTTTTATGTAGCTGACATTCCTATGGATGAAAATGGAAACATGAAAACATAGCAGCAATGGTGATAATTTAAATCCATTATCATACTGTAGCTGCTGGATTGTAAAACAACACACAAAAGCCCTTGGTTCTCAGTGAACCCCAACTCTGAAGTAAAGGGTTTTCAAGTGAACCTCAAGCCCCCTCTTTGCCAGAGGGGGATGCTTCCTCTCGGGGGTCAAGGGAGGTGGCAAAGAGCGGGCCATTCAGAGAAAAGTATTCACTGGATATGCTGCTCTAACACTGGTGTCCTGGAGAGCTTAGAGCTGTGCTGTTCATGGAAATTGGAAATGACTCCCTCCCTTTCTTATAGTCCTGTCCTTGCAGAGTGACTTCTGCCAACAAAGAAGTGGACTATATAGTCAGGGTAACGTAGCAACTTGGGCTAGTGGTCAGAAGATGGGAACCTGTTACTTCAGAGTTAGGTGTTACAGCAGAGAACTGAAGTGTTAACTGAAGTCCTGCAGCTCTTTTTAACACTGGTGTTAGCTTAAGGTATGAATACAGAAAATCTCCCCAAGGACACGACATGTTGTCCAGGGGACTTATAATGATGATTAAAACTCATTTACTTTTGGGCTACCTTCTTGTAGTGTCATACCACATTTGATTGTCACCAGGTGTTTGGTTTTTGTGGGGTGGGGGTGTGTGTGTGGTGGGGCGGCTGGTTAACCTGACAGTGTAGCGTTCAAATGGCAATGGGAATAAATATAGAGAATTACAAATTTTTAACAATACCAGTAACTAAATTTGGTCTTCTTACAAGTAAAGATCCTGCAGACATTACCATGACTTGGGAGTGAGAGATGAGGTTTAATTAGTATGCTATTTTCTAACTAGTTCATTTAAAAATATTTCTTGAGATTCTCTGGGGTCCGTTAGAATGACGTTTGCTGAATTGAGCCAGCGCTCAGTATGGCCTCTGCGGAATTCTCATTTGCTTATTTATACTCTGTCTTTTTCCAAAAAGACTTGAAGAATCTGACTTTATAGAATGGGAAATGTATAATTACTTTATACATTACTCTTTAGTTTCTGGAAGTGATTTGAATTCTATTATGGCTGAAGTAGTCTTTGCCTCCCTTTCTTCTGTGGGGTGTTTAGTGGGCAGCTCTGAGTGACCATTCCTGTCCTTTCCCTGATCCACCTACCTTTTGTTCTTAATGGGTAAGATTTGCTAATTAACTAATTCTTTCATCTCCATTTATAGGTACAATGGTGCTTTACCCAATGGAGACAGAGGACGGAGGAAAAGCAGATTTGCTCTTTATAAACGGCCCAAGGCTAATGGTGTCAAACCCAGCACTGTCCATGTGATCTCCACGCCCCAGGCATCCAAGGTAGGTGGCTTGTGCAAAGGGAAGAGGCCCTTGGCAAAGGGGCAGTCTAGTGATTTCCTGTCAGCTGCACTTGCACTTCCTTTCAGTCTTGTTTCTCTGTAGGGCTGAGTCAACCACTTGAGACCAGATTGTTCTGGGTTATGAAGGTTGTGTAGGGCTATTCCAGCAGCTTCCCAGGCCTTGACACAATAGGTGCCAGTGGCATCTCCCCTCCCCTCCACCCCCAACTGCCAGCTCTCCTGTGACAACCAAAACTCTCCAGACATTGCTCCAGACAATAACCCCTGGGGGGTGAGACAGGCAAATCACCTCCCGCCCCACCACGTTATGAACCACTGCTTTCCGTAGAGCATGCATCAATTTAGAATAGTTGTGGTTAAAAGAAAAATGATGTTCCTGATCCTAAATGGAGTTTTGGTATTAAGTCTTGGTAAGCGCCTCATTAAGATTTGTTATTTTCCTTCTGTTAATTGGATTCAGTGGGTGTTTTCAAATAATCTGCATATACTTAGAATTGAATTTGTATGATTATTAGGAAGATTGGAGGTAAACAGAGCCAAGTGCTCTAATAAGTTTACATATTTCCACTCTTTGAATTAAATAAAATGTTAATTTTTAATGATTATTAATGTCTTCTGATTTTACATCTATATATGTGTATGTGTGAGGGGAGATATCACTTTCTACTTGGGTTTTATGTGTTCTGCCTATTAGATTTATGACAGTTTTTCTTTTTATTAAATAGATTCCTTAAGGTGTAATGGTTACTTTCTGTATAGTAGTTACATTTACGTTATGTACTTCAGCACTAGCTGAACATGCTTATTGTATTGGGTTGGACTATCTGTAATAAATGAGACTTGATTCCCAATTTTTTACTGAAAACCTGTGTTCAAAAAGAAATGCAGATCTTCATGGAAGCCCCCATGGTATTTCCACTCAAGCTTCGAAACAGGTCACCTTTGCTAATGCTTTTAGTAGAAAAGCTCCTGTTGTTTCCAAAGCAATACTCCTAAGAAAAGCTAGAATATACCAGTTGTCTTATGTTAATGGCTGGACTAGAGAATATCAAGGAGACAGGAAAGATTAGTAATTAGTGGAGAACTTCTTGAGTAGAGGAAGGGAAGTAAAGTAAAAGCCCTAGGAAGGGAAGGGCTCTTTGTAAGGAAAACAAAGGAAGTCAGCTTTGCAAAGTCTGCAGGAGGAGGGAATAACATAGCAATAGAATCTTGGAAGGTCAGGAGATACACAAACCATTTTATGATTGGAAGGTTTTTGGTAAAGACAGGTACCAAGACACATTTTTTTTTTTTT